AGAAAATTATCAGCGATATGACACAAGGCTTGAAAAATTGAAGAAGCAATATCGCTTAGGTGCTATAAATTACTTTTTACTAATAATTAAGGAGCGGAAGATCACAGAAAATAAAATAAGGTTGGCAAGAACATGAGAAAATAATGAATAGGTATAAAGCAAAATAATTGTTAATTTCCCTGAAACGATTCCGCTTCTTCATCCAAACGTCCGTTCTGACTTAAAGTCACATATCATACCATAGAAAAGACTTCGTATATTCATCAAAGCAAGCAATTGCTTTAGTAATACAAATCAGGATACAGCGTACAACAGTCCCAAGTATCCAGCGAAGATGATTGTCACCAATATTAAACGGCAATCGTGGATACAAAGGAAGCGCTGCAAGCGAATAATAGCTGAAACACGGCTGAACCTTCTTCTGTGTGAGCAATTTCTTTTAAATAATAAAAAGATTTTTCATACAAAGTGAAGTTCAATAGTGCTGACACATGCTGCAGTGTGGATTCAGCTTAGCAGCAAGGCATTTGCATCTCGTAATAAACAATTCCTTCGGAATCGCGTGCAACACGACAACAATGCCCTCCCTAATCACCCCAATCTCTGCTTTATATCACAAGGATTTTTGCCTAAGGTTCTAAGTATTACTTGGTGAAACCTTTATTAGAAGTCATAAAAAATATAGTAAGGGTGCCTAATGAAGCCATTAGGAAAGGTTTTGTACGAATTGTCACTCGTCGGCTTATCCAAAATATTATCTTCACTTTAACGATAATGCATGGACAACCACGTTGTAACTGATATTCCACAGAGTAAAACTTATAGCTATACTTCCAATTCGAGTCAATAAATTATCGGTGACACTTGAATAATGACCATAAAGGAGTTGCCTGTAGATGCCACAATCAAATAAGTTAATTTTTAGAATCAATAATAAACGACGATTAATAAATTCTCGGAAATGTGCTGCGTGGAGTTGGTCTATACAAACTTGTTTAGGCAACAAAACTTCACTTCAAAAAACACTGGCAAAAGGACGATAGCTTCAGGACAAAGAAGACCGAGAGAGATACGGCCACCATTGGATGTTCAACACCGGAAAAACTCAGATTCCGAGGCTGATTGAAGAGAAACCAATGCCGACTAATTGCTTTCCTCACGAGACCATGGAAGGCATCATGATGTCGTCGAAAATTTTGAAAAACCTCATCAAAACGTATGACTGCGAAAGTCTTCAGTATCTGAACAAAATAGTTTTGCACCGATTGTTGTAATTTCCACAATGCTAAAAAAGGACCTTCTTTATTAGCTAAAGTAGCATTGCAATAGTACTTGTTCATAACACTCAACGTTCATGTCGTCTCTTTTTGTTCTCAACGGCTTTTGTGCCGCTATTTCACTCAAGAAATTTTTTCCGATGTTCATGGAACAAAATTTTTGTTTCTTTCTGATTAGCATGGAACAAACGGAAAACCGATCTTTTTCGCTGGAGAGGAATTTTTCCTAGGAGTGCTAGTGACCATAAAAAAGCTGGGAATTGAGGCTACAGCCCACGTCGCCGGTTTTTCAGAGCACGCCTATATAACGCTGTAGCACCAAGATCAAAAACCTTATCTCACATTCGCCTTTCGAATCTATTTTTACCACACGTATCACTTGTTGGAAGTCAAAAAGCATACTGATGTGTAGAGTGATTTTCTTAGTATCTCAGTCAGTCGTTTTATTTAGAGTTTCTCTCAAAGCGGAGGAAAAATCCTCAATTGAATAACAATACATCAGTCGTCTCGCCTCGTCCCGTCCCTTGCCACGCCCCTGCTTTGTCGAACAGCTAGTGAATAACTTGCCGAGAATGTACAACTCGCTATTATTTTCCTTGCTATGTCGCATTTCCAGAAAATGAGCACATCATTAGAATAAGAAGACATCACTTTACTAGATGATTACTAATATTCTGATAAAAGCTGTGACCGGTGAGGTTCAAAACACATATCATAAGACCAAAGGTATCAAAGAGTCAGAAGAGCTTTTGGGAAGTAAACACATTTATGAATTCTTTGAAGCTTGTGTAATAAATTGAGTGCTAGCACTCCAAGGAGGGAGTTTTGTCCAGCGATATATAAGCAAGATAAGAGAAAAAACACGTGGTTGCATGAAATATGAATTTACTTCGAATGTTATGGCGCTACAAAGAGGTATTTCAAAGAACCGGCGAAGTGGCGCTGTAGCCAGACTTCTAAGCCTTCCAATGAAACCTTACATCCCCTTAGAATGTTTCGGTAGAGCGAATGGCATCAGTTTTTCATTTGCTTCCTTTTAAGCAGAAGGAACCAAATTTATCAACATATCTCGTAATTGCTATCTGGGCCAACTTGTCATGTAGTCTGTTAAATGAGCTCTTGTACAGTCTGATACACATGTTCTGACCTTAATAGTCTCGCCAGTCGGGTTGGAACACATGTATCGGCTGTACAAGAGGCCATTTAACAGACCACATAGCAAGTCGGCTCAGATAGCAATTATGAGATATGTTAAAATTTGAGCAAGGTCTTAAAAAAATTGTTCGCAAAAATTCAATTTCTTTATACTGTCCCAATGTGTTTTCATTTATTTCGGGATGCATATCTAGCAAATCTGCGATTTTGTTGTTCTTTGATCTCCTGAAAGGAGAAAGTTTTAGAACTTTCTCTTTCAAATTCCTGATTTAGTGCTATATATTTTGCTGAAAGTAAGGGAGTTTGTCAAAATAATAGTTGTGAGAGGAATTAATCCAGTCTTTGAACTTTTATATTAGCCATTTAGAAGAATAACTACTTGTTAGTTTTCTAAAACCCTTTAACTTTGGAACTTTCGTTGCTTCAAGTAACAAATGTGTTTCAATCTCGTATTTTTCTGTGGGTATAATATAAATCGTCTGCGAGTATATAGAGGATTAAGCTCTCGATTATGGCCACTCCCTTCGCGGTGTGTTACGTATTCAGTCTCATCAAGCTTAGCAGAGGTAATCAAATGTTTAATGAGCTTATAAATGTAGTAGTGACTTACAGATATATCAAATCAGTACTTTTATTCCTGTGCACATCTAATACTGATTTTTCTATCCCGAAGAGTTAGAAAGATCAGTATTGAATTTTTATTAACTTGTTCATACTATTTATTATTACATTAAACTGTATTTATCAATATCATTATAATATTTATTTAATATTAAGCCTCGGCATAGATGACTCATTGCTTTATTTTATACAGTTGTGAACTCAGTGAGATGTTGATATGCACTTCACCAAAACAGTGAATTTTTTTAGTTGTTATGTCGTTCTATAGGTACAAACAAATTTTTTGTCTCACGCCGCTAAATAAACCCCCTAGAGGTAATCAAGCGATAGGCGAACTATTCTGAGCGCGAGAAACAATATTCTTTGCTATCTAACACCGCCACATATAAGTTTTTAATAGCGAGTCTTTGTGCCGGAATTCTAGAGTCTGTCACGACTGCCAATAATGCGGCTAAAAGCTAGTCATAGGTCTCTGCCGAGCAAGCAGAGAAATTTGAGTGTGTAACATGATATATTTTCGTTGCTGCAACGAAATTGGAAATGTATTTTAGAAGAAATTGCCGAGATTTAGGCTTCTGAATGATTACTGAAAACTTAAGGAAGGAGTTCCTGGAGAGGAGCGAGAAAGGCCACCAGAAAATCGGGTATACAAATGAATACATTCCGTCCCGAAAGGGTTAAACAACTTCATATCTATCACTGAGAGTGGTCTTTATGGAACTGCAAGCTGTCACAGATGTTATGATAAAGGTTGTTATGATATGTTATAGGTTGTTATGATAAAGGCATAAAGTTTCTCACCCTGCCCTTCCTATTTTAAAGCGTTGGTCTCAATGTGTCGTCTGTAGAGCGCTTTTCTAGTCCTGCATTTTGTCTCAAAACTTCTCTAAAAGAGTGGATGCTCTTCTCTGGCGAGCCTTTCCAAGTCCGGATAGATCATACAACTTCATCTTCGCCAATGCATGATGTAGCTGAGTGTAGAAGGAAGTTGTTCGGAGTTGATGTAGGCACACATTTTAACCGTAAACGTTCAGTTTAGGTAATTGCTTGTAAATCAGTTGATAATATTAGTTGAACAGCTTTCACAAAGGCTTCAATACAGCGGACTTTCCTACCATCGCATATTTCAAAGATAGTTCTCCTTCGATGTCATAGACAGCGTGAAATGAGTAGTGTCTTCTGATTTCAGTCAGGCGGATCATGTCGTATCTTATCCTTCTTGTCTTCATCATCGAATCTCCCTCTGGAGGACTTGTACGCAAGTGTACGTGCCCCACAGATACAATCTGTCATCTTAGCTTAGTATAACTTTGGCAGCCCGGTTTGATTCTGGGATTTCAGGAGCCTCTTCATACTCGTCTTTTTTGACGTTTTTTCCAGGATTAAGATAATGATGCTTTGATTTGTTGTTGTTCGGCCTTTTCAGGTCAATCGTACAGTCATATATCTTCAATATCGTAACTAATATCAAATGCTATCTCAAGCCTGCATTAACCTTAAATGCGTTAACACCATCGAATTGTCACCATAAATCAGGGTTAACCCAACCTCATATAAGCCTTCTGATATGTCAATCTCCAGCGCCACTACTACTGTATATAATACATGGCATAGTGATGTCATATGCCGATACAACCATGTTCTACTTCTCATATGTCTATCACATTGCAATACCGACCTATGATGGAGCTATATCTTACTTCGAAGGATCTTCTTGCGTGTTGTCTCAATATCACTCTCTCAAGCTGTCACTATATGGCCTCTGGTGTGCCTTGATGTTGGTAAATCGTCATTTAAGCACTTTGTTATTATAAGCGACCTAATTAATCAAATGTGAGGAGACGTCTTGTGATAGAGATCAATCAGAAATCTTTATATTTGACAGCCACTTATGGTGGTATGATGTTACAATATATACAATAGTGTAGAGTGGTGGGCAAAAACGACTGCGTTAGCTGGAATCGAACCCATACTCACTCTTTCCGGGAGCGCGTGCTGAGCCGTTGCACTACCAACACCCGTTTTGCACACTATTTTTTCTACGCTACAATGCGTTATCTGTCAGCAGCCAACCGTCTACGATCTGGCGTGGGTAATCGTCATCGACATCAAACCCACTTATCTTGGCAGATATTGAGTATCAATAATCAATCAGAAATCTTTTTTTGACAGCCACTTGTGGTGGTATGATGTAACAATATGCCTAATAATGTAGCAAAATGTTATCTCTTTCCTATAGTATAAAATAGTATGGAAGTTGCTTCAGATACCAAGCTTGCTATCAAAATCGAAATTTTCCAAGCTATTGAATGCATGAAAAATTGGTAAATCAGGAACAAAAGGATCATTCCGCAACGTGATTTACACGTGTCCTGCGATATTCGTTCTAAACTTGGAACACTTCGCCGCACTGATGAAAAATTTGGATAAAATATACGAATATGATGTTTGAGAACTTTCTTCACGTTCATATGTTTTTTTCGTGCGTGGGATCAAATTTGGTAGCGGATTTATCTAACAGTATATCATGAGAATAAAAAGCCTAAGCCCTAGAAGGACAGAGCGGAGTTATTTACTACGATTTATGTATAAAAAACTTAAAAATCTCTACGAAACAGAGAATCATTTTCTAAATATGCCTGACAGTTATTTTTTAGTCATGCATGTGGTCAATCATGGGCACTTATACAGTGCTATATACCTGTTTCTTCCTTGCACAGCCTCTTAGTAACGGTGTGCCTCTCTCGTGAAGAATCCAACCTCACATAGAGAAATGCAAAAGTACCATTTACACGCTTCATCAAGTGAAACATCAATGAATGGGCAATGTTGATAATTCGATTGCTCTTGGCTGGTATCGCCAAATATATCATGCCTTTCGTTTTGAATGTTTCTTAAAACCACGCTTAGATTTCAATATCTTCGAGTGGTGTTGTCGAACGAAAATTGAAACACGTTTATAGCACTGTGTAAAGCACTGTGTAAGTGGCCATAAAAACCACATGCATGGCTCAAAAAACGATCTATCGGCCATAGCATATAGTACGTATAAGTGCCCATAACACACCTCATTCATGGTTCAGAAATAATATACAGGTATATTGAAATTGTTTACGAATAAATAACAAAAATTCTCACGATAACGCGCTACGCATGATAAAGATTTTTACATTTTCCGAAAGTCAAGCTATTCGAGTCAATCGCAGTTTGGAAAAAAAACTTTGTCTGATGAAATATAAGCGCAATGAGACGCGAGAGGCTCCTAACTCTTGGGAAGCATAACTCTGTCAAAGGCATCAGCAGCTCAATCGAACCTTTATAACTATAATTTATCGATTGAATATGGCTTCAGTGTTCAGAAACTCTATGACGATGAGAAAAAACGTCAAAATCACGAGTATCATAGATAGTGAATAGAATACTTTACAATATTTGTCTTCATTGTTCGTGAAATCAAGGCTGCATGATGCGCCTTTCTGGAAAGCTATTTTCGGTAGCTCTTACTAATTGCCTTCTGTTTATTCGTTGATTTTTTTCTACATAAACCAATGTTGCATGTGTTATATAACATCATACGTACTCTAGCATCTCTTTCCTTTTAATAGTTTCCTTCTATCTATCATCGACAAAGATCGTCAAGCATAAAATACCCATGTTAGAGTGCTCATGTGTATGAAAGAAGCCAAACAAAACCCACACAACTCCATTTCGAAATTCCTGGCCTCGGAACTGATGAGAACTTTGGTGAGAGAAGGGAATGATTGGATTGGCATTTGGTTTTAATAGGTTTCTTGCTCAATAGAGACAATCGCTACCACTCCGCTAGTAGCTCCCTTTCTCCTTATGTACTAACGTGGGTGTTTCGTTGGGCTGCCTTCAGTAATGAAATGGGCTTCAACATGTTTTCACTCCTAAATTCCATAAAGATGGTAATAATGATTGATTTACTCGTTCTCACGATAAAAAAGTACATCCATAACATCGATTATTTCCAAAATCTCCCAATAAACATTTGAAATAATTCCAAAAAAGAATGCTTGAAGCCCAAGCGAGGTTTATACGCCAGGGCCATACATCGGTGTGCCATACACAGGAGGCCGAAACCTCCAAAACGCCGGGGTATGGCCCTGGCGTATCAACCTCGCTTAGGCTTTAAGCATTCTTTTATTGGAAATACGAGTATTTAAATTCTTTCTTGTGGCAGAGTCGTTAATTCTACTCGTAGTTTTTTTGAAGAGGAGGAAAAACTTCTATTTGAGTGACAAAAACCTCACTGGCATGAGACCGATCTAAAATCGACCGATAATTGCGCAACTACCATTGTCGTCTCATCCAACGGCCTAGCATAGCCAAATACCACCTTAATCACTAGTGTAAATCAATCTTATTTTTCCTGCTGCATTGCAGAGAAACGCTCTTTTCAGGATAATAGCAGACCGTTGGAATCAGCAAACATTACGCTACTGAATGATTACTAGTAGTTTGATAGAAGAGCTCTGTCCGGCGAGAAACATGCGCGTGTGAAGGATAATTCTATCTTGATTTACAGCGTTATAGAGGAGTCTTTTCGGAAGCCGGCGAAGTGCTCTAGCCAAAGATTTAAGCTTCAGAACATTTACTAATAGTCCTGTTGAAAGTTCCTGCTTAGTGAATGAGGTCGGATATTTGATTGTGTTTTTATAACCGAAGAGAACCGAAAAAGTCTTCATAGAGAGGCAGTAAAGCTACGTTTCGCATTATGAACCAAAGTATGTAATCGTGTAGAGAAAACCGTAGCGTACCAAAGTATCAAAAAAATTGGAAGCAATTCTTCCAAAACGGAGAAAAAATATTCACGTGCAAATAACAAAAATCACGTCCTTTCACTTTCAATCAGTTAACTACATATTTTTTCATCCACTCATCCACAGGTCCCCATCTGAGCGAACAGAGGAACCAAATGTGAAATGCAGTCCTACTTTACTCCTATGACGCACTAATAAGGCGTTTTTGTAAGAGCAAAAAAATTTAGGAATTTTGTGCATCTGTAAATATACACGCCGCCTCGAAAGAGATAATCATAATGCAATACCTTGCGACCATTCAATCATTGAGTCAAGTTCAGATTAAAAATCAGGATATATTCTTCCTTTAATTGATAATCTTCTAAATTTTAGGATCCACTATCGATTAACATCGACATTGACCGAATAAGTGCGGAATTTTCTTTTCTTTTTAAGCTGATGCGAGGCCGTCAACAGACGGCTTATTTAACAGGCGGTGCATTTGATAGGGCGTTCTGCGATAGATAGATTGATCACGCAGAAGCGACTTACATGTGGTGTCCAGTCTTTGTCAATTAAATCGGAACGTTTTCTCAACTTCGAGAGAAACTCTATATAAAACGAATGATTCTGATACTACGAGATTTACTCTTCACGATCACATGCTTTTGGTGCTTATTAGGCTTAATAGCCATTTTATAAAGATAAAGGATAAAGCTCTTGGCGTTGCGCGCGCATGTTTCTCGCCGGACAGAGCTCTTCTATTAAACTACTAGTAATCATTCAGTCGCGTGATGTTTGCTGATTCCAACGGTCTGCTATTATCCTGAAAAGAGCGTTTCTCTGCAATGCAGCAGGAAAAATAAGATTGATTCACACTAGTGATTAAGGTGGTATTTGGCTATGCTAGGCCGTTGGATGAGACGACAATGGTAGTTGCGCAATTATCGGTCGATTTTAGATCGGTCTCATGCCAGTGAGGTTTTTATCACTCAAGTAGAAGTTTTTCCTCCTCTTCAAAAAAACTGCGAGTAGAACTAACGACTCTGCCACAAGAAAGAATTTAAATACTCGTATTTCCAATAAAAGAATGCTTAAAGCCTAAGCGAGGTTGATACGCCAGGGCCATACCCCGGCGTCTTGGAGGTTTCGGCCTCCTGTGTATGGCACACCGATGTATGGCCCTGGCGTATAAACCTCGCTTGGGCTTCAAGCATTCTTTTTGGAATTATTTCGAATGTTTATTGTGAGCTTTTGGAAATAATCGATGTTATGGATGTACTTTTTTATCGTGAGAACGAGTAAATCAATCATTATTATCATATTTATAGAATTTAGGAGGCCAGAACATCCCAGTTGCTTCCAACAGTGACCCCAAAGACATTCGGATACCACGACATTTTCTCTACACGTTCATATGCTTGAAATCCACACGATCACTGCTTCAACCAACCTTGCTGCCTCACTCAGTGGCCCGTGTATTGGCCATAGATCATTTTGCGCGCCTATGTGAATCTGTCTTATTTTCCCTGCTGCGCTGCAGAGAAACGGTCTTTCGGGGATATAAGCACACATCATTGAATCAGCAAACATTACGTTATCAAATGATAATTAATAAACCAAAGAAAGATCTCTGCCCGGCGAGAAACATGTGCATCTTATACACAAGGGATTTCCCTCTTTGAAAACGTCAAAAAAGGCATCTTCAAAGACTAGCCATGTGGGGCTGTAGACAGATCTTATGTGTTCATTCATCCATTCAAATAATTTTTTTCCAAATGGTAAAATTAGTTCTGGATGGTTATGTTTTTGATGTTCTAAGGTGTCAAATGCAGTGTGACCGTAAGAACAAAAGAACGATGAAAGACTACAACCGCAAACAGGTTTCCAAACTTACATTGTCTTAGTGATTATTGTGCTTGTTGCACAAGCACAACAGTAATAGGAGAACATGTCTTGTTTCACTTGAACGTGCTCACATTTTGGCTGCTTATGCTTTGTGTGATGAATTAGAGCTTATGATATATTTGTAGATATTTGTTCAATCAGTTTTCGCTTGGAATATGACAGAATCAAGTTTTGTACCTATAATTTGTTTGAAAGACTTTTTCAGGACAGTGTGGATCTGCGCTATGTGTTTTCAGCTTTACTAGAGAAACCATCCAAGATCATTCTGATATTGGATGTCTTGGATTTGTGGTTATTTCATCAATACTGAGTGTTGAATCGCGCTTGTTTCGTAACCATCTCATACT